CATCGCTCCCGGCCACCCCTTCCCTGTTGCAGCTGCCCAAAACAGCCTTCGTTGTAGTTTTCCTGCAATTTCCTCATTGCCGCCATCCAAGACCGCCTTCCTTTCGCTGTCCGGCAGTCCACCACATCCTCGTCGCCATTCCAATAGTCCATCATCAATGTCATCACCGTTCCAGCCCTCCCCTTTCGCTCCATACCCGCTGCCATCGTTGTTCCACACCTCTGCCCCTAACAACAATCCCATTTCCCCTCACTGCCATCACCCAGAACAGACAACCTATTGTTCTTTAGGTTCCCCCTTCCACCCTACACGCTCACTCATATCCCCAAAACAGCACTTCGGAAGCCCATACTAGCCACAACCGCCACCCTCCAACCATTCCTACCACCTAACACCCTTCCACATCCACCTAGCCAACCACCACTACCCCGAGAACAGACCCCAACTAGCGTTGTGTGTCGTGTTTGTTGTTATCTCCCATTTAAGTGTGTTTGGTTGTAATCTCCTATTTGCTTTCAATAATATTTATTTTTCTTATTGTTATTTGGGTTAGCTCAAGTATCAAATAGGTTGGAAATTGACCTTTCTAGTTTATATTTTATGGGATGTCTATCCATCTCCACATCTTTGGTTCAATCATGTTAAATTGAATTGATGGTAATACTAGAAGAGTTTTTTGTCAAAGTATAACCATGTATGTCAATTTCATTTAATTTTAATCTTCTAGTATAATTTTAAACCATAAAAAATGATAGATACAACGAGTGATTGCTTTGAATTTAAATTCAGTACTTGACATTGAAAGAAAAATTGCTCCTTGCTTCTCCATTTTACTAGATTTTTTTCTAATTGTGTGAAATAGCTTCAAATGGATCTCCTATCACCTGGTGAACCCCCATAGCATTAGTACAACTTTATATTTGTGGAGTTTCTTATTTTCTATAAAGATTGCTTTTCTAGGATTCGATTTTAGATGCAAGAGAACTCTTGAAGATGAGAATCTTTTGATTTGTGTATATATTAAATTTGGAACTTTCAACAAAATAATGTTAGGATGAGTGTGAGGTAAATTAGTTTCCCAACTAATCTTTGATATTGTCCAATGTTAATTACTATTCTTCTATCTATGTCCAATTTTTTAGCTTCTCTAGTTGGAGTCACAAGTCTTGCAACGAGCCATATGTTCCCTCAATAAATCAATATTTTTATTGAGAGATAAAAATTTATTTTTCTAAATGAGCAGCTTCTATACCCAAAAAAAATTTAAGCATACTGAGTTCTTTAATTTCAAATTATGAGGCATGTTTTTCCCAAGTAATTAATTTTCTTTGCTTTTATCACCCGTTATAATGATGTCATTAACACACATAACAAAAATTAAAATTTCTCGTCAGTGGAATATTTTATGAAAGGCGTATATCTCATTAGCATTGTTTATGCCTCATTTCATACATGAATTTTGTAAATAGACTATTCCCTTAGGAATTGCTTAAAATCATAGATTGCCTCTTCTAATCTGCACACTTTATATTCTAAGAAAGAGTTATTGAATTCTAATGGATGATTGACAAAAACTTTTTCAACTTCTTCAAGCACAAAGATATTTTTCACATCATATTGTAGCATGGACCACCCAAATTTATCAGTAAAAAAAGGATGCAAATTGCATTCATTTCAGTACAAGAAGCAAAGATTTCCTAGTAGTCTATTTCTTAGTATTGACTATAATCTTCTGCTACTAACT